AGAAAAACTCAGTGTTTTTCTTTTGCATACCCATCAGGGTGTATGGCAATGGAAAATGTCGTATTAGAGATTAGTGACAGAATGCTGCACCAAAGATGTATATCTGTACTGAAAGAGGCTGGGAGGAAGGAGCAGGAATTCTCACAAATGGAAGAATATGAAAGGAGCATGGAAGTGAGGTGGTGGGCAGGTAGATTGTGTACTGGAGTTCTAGCAAACGAGAGATGTAGGCAAGTGTAGGAGTCTGAAGATTCTTGAAAGGAAACACAAGGACTTAAAAAATCCAGCCAGTGGCAAGAAGCCAGTGGATAGAGTGCAGGAACAGAGTGTCATGGTCATTCTACAGGGAGAGGAAGGGGACTTTTCAGAGTCATGTTTCAGACCTGTCGTGCAGCAGGCCTGGCGTTTTCACTCTTCCCCATCTATCTGATCGTAATTTCATTACACTGATTTGGAAAAACAAGTCTAAATCCCGCCTATACCTGTTATTACCTCTAGAGGGCAATGAGATGTAACCCATTTTTCCCCCCCCACTGGAGAAGACAGACCCAAACTAGTTTGGAACAGGTTGTTTGTGTCTTCACTCTCCAAAGTTCCTAATGTACATTATATTATTTTGTGACTGGAAAGAGCAGGAAAGATTTTTTTATTCCTCCCACTCTCCTTCCATGTTGGATAATGTTAAATATTAACACTAGAATCATGGAATTGCAGATCTTGTCCTCTAATTCCTATAAGAGAAGAGGAATGAAAAAGTCGCCAGGGATGTGACGAGGCTTATCTCATTAGTGACTGTAAATCACCACTGTAAATGTCATCTGAGAGGCATTGCTAAAAGACAAAATAGTATGTGTGCCAATTTTTCAGACGCCTCTCCCCCTTTAGTAATTTTGTGCAGCATGTGTCACTTCTGGAAGAAATCTTGGTTTTCTTTAACAGCCTCCAGCAAGCTGTGCCTCATGGGGATTGCAGAAACTCCAGGCTGTGCCAGTCTGCTTCCAGCATCCTTATTCAGCAATTCTAACCCAGGTAGAATACTTTTCTGATTTGGTTAGAAGTTGTAGTCTGAACAGTGTCTAAATGAGGGATGATTTCTGAATTTGCATTCTCTGATAACTTTGAGTGGCTTTGTAAGGGTCACAAGAAATAATATTAACACTGTGTAATGAAGCCCACAAATGGATTTTGGTAGCTAATAATGACAGTTTGTGGTACTAGTTTACATTGAGTTGGTAATTGTGTAGAACTTGGCAGAAAACTTCTCCTCTGTAAAGTAAATATTTATTTGGAACTACAGGTTGGACCTGACCAGTTCCAAACAAGAGAATTTGCCAGATTCACCTATAAAGTAAATATTTATTTGGAACTATCGTGGGGACCTGACTAGTCCCGTACCAGGGGAGGTCACCTGCCACTGGCCCCCAAGCCCATCATCCACTGCTGGCAGGCTGCCCCAGCAGGCAACCCTGCCTTGCCCTACGCCCCTAACCTGTCTGGGCTGCTTGTATAGCTACTGCTGGATCCGTGGGCGGCATAGGTTCCGGTTCGTGCCATGGGGCTCTGGTTTCATGCAGCCAGGGGAAACTGCGGGGCTCTGATCCTGGCCCTGTGCCACCTCTGCCCCAGTCCCATGCCACTGGGAGAAGCTGTGGGGCTCCAGCCCCAGCCCCCTGGGGGTTGCTGTGGGGACTCCAACCCCACGCCGCCACAGGGTTCCAGCCTCAGCCCTGTACTCTTGGGGGCTGCTGAAGGATGCTGCAGAGCCCTAGTCCCAGGCTGTACTCAGCCAGGCTGCTGACCCTGATGCCCAGCTCAACTGGCCCTCCTGCCCTTAGATTCCTGGCTCTTCAGGTACAGGAGCATCCATGGTCCTACTGGACCAGAGAGTGTGATTTTGGGGATACAACCAGTATTCCTATGTAAGTTATTGGTCTCCTTTATTATATAGAACCTGGATAGATAGAAATTTGAGCAGGTATTGGGAGTATTTGGTCTATCCAAATGGAGTGAAACCACAGTTGTTCTCTAGCATAATGACCTTTGCACGCAGTGGTTCCATCAATAAACATGTGGACTACTTGAGATGGCAGTCCTCTTGTAGATCCTGCTGTTTTACTGATCTCCAACCCCCAGCTTATAGTAAGCACTGCACATAGTGCTCAGTCATATGAATATAAAAGAGAAAAAGTTCAAATAAATTGGCTTTAATCTGATGGATGTAGCTATATTCCCTTATGTGATATTTGTGCTGTTCCTTTTTGTAAGGGTGGAATCTCCCTCATGTCCCCATTATGCTGCTCTCTCCAGGTCACTTGCTAGTGTCATTCTCTGACTTTGCTACACTTAATTTTTGTGTCTTGTGTAAGTTTGTCCATGGTCAAATTTATACCAGAGAAGTGTCTGATGAAGACAAACATGTAAAGTAGTTTGATGGAGTGAAAATAGGTGTTATTTCCAGAAGCTTTTAAAAAACACAGTCACATAGTGCTAACAGGAAGGGTGCTATTTGAAGACTGCAGGATTCTTGATAGTATGACTAAGATAGTTGTAGGGATTGGTCCCCAGACTTCCCATAATGGAACATGTCCATGTCCTGTCCCCCAGTCATCGTCAGAAGGTTGGGCTGAGGCTAAAGCTGTGTCTGGGAACAGGGCTGCAGCTGGTGCCTGAGCTGGGCATAGAGGGGGCTGGGTAGTCCTCCCTCCCTAGCCCTGTGGGGGCTGAGCCAGGACCTAGTGTGCCCCACTGAATGCTCTTCCACACACACCCTTAGGAGGGGGTGTGCCCCATAATTTGTGAACCACTGTTCTAAGGTCTTTTGGAAATCACTGTCTTCAGATACATACTATACTTAAAGCAGGGGCTTTCAAACTCTGGGGCGCAGCTTATAAGGCAAGCTGCTAGCTTTCCGTGAGACACTTTGTTTACTTGTGCCTCACAGGTACAGGTGCTTGCAACTGCTGTTGGCCACGGATCACTGTTCCCAGGCAGTGGGAACTATGGGAAGTGGTGCAAACCAGGACACCACTTCCCACAGCTCCCATTGGTCATGAGCTGAGATCATCCATACCTGTAGAGTTCTAGGTAAACGAAGTATATTGCAGCCAGCTAATGGCTTGCCTTTACAAGCCACAATCCAGAAGTTTGAAAACCCCTGACCTAGGGTGTCATCTCTAACCCCAAGCTGAGAGCTTCGACTTAACAGACTTTAGTGTGAAGAAAATAAAAACTGCATACAGGCAGTCCCCGAGTTACGTACAAGATAGGGACTGTAGGTTTGTTCTTAAGTTGAATCTGTATGTAAGTCGGAACTGGCGTCAGCCGCTGCTGAAACTGATCAGTTTCAACCACGGCTGAATCTGGATGCCAGTTCTGACTTACATACAGATTCAACTTAAGAACAAACCTACAGTCCCTATCTTGTACGTAACTCGGGGACTGCCTGTATGCAGTTTTTATTTTCTTCACACTAAAGTCTGTTAAGTCGAAGCTCTCAGCTTGGGGTTAGAGATGACACCCTAGGTCAGGGGTTTTCAAACTTCTGGATTGTGGCTTTTTAAAGGAAGAGCTT